CAGCAAGATTGCAGTTTAGAAGGTCCTATCTCCCATTCCTCCACCCCAAGAAACAATGATTGGACTAACATGCATAGACAAAAAAAAAAAAAAAAAAAAAAAAAAAAAAAAAAAATTCTGAGAGCTCTAGAATCCAAGTGAGAGGCTACAGCATTCTGATAGAGCATAGAAAGGAGACAAGACACACCAAAAATAATTAGAAGAAAAATTTTAGTCTGTTCATGTCACCCTTCCCTCAAGTTGGCTCTGGCAGTTCTCCTGTGAAGGAAGGAAAGAGTTAAGTACTCATGTAAATTTTCCAGCACTTCAAGAATCTACCTGAGGGGCTCCCTTGGTTGAAGTACACCCAGCAGGCAGGGAGTTGGCACAGCTGGGTTGCCTGGGGTAGCTTAGAACAAAGAAAAGCTGTGGGGGAGGGATTCTCAGTAATCATTACACTGATTTCAATAGCCAACCTGCAAACCTCAGTAAACAAGGCTATCTGTGTATCCTAAGAACAACCCAACACTGGATCCATCTGCCTGTAGAACCCAGCATTGAGCCTGTTCCCAAAGCCCCATGGACCCCATTATCTAGGCTGCTCAGGAACTCTGGCCAGGCTGACTGGTGTGTCTTTCTCTCCCAAATGAGTCAGTTATGCCTGGAGGAGGTGACCACTTCAAACATACAGACAATATAAGACTAAGGATCACAAAGAATCAGGAAACATAACACCACTGAATGAAAAGAATAAAGTTATAGTTACTGACACTGAAGAAATGAAGATCTGTGTGCTGCCTGACAAGAATTCAAAATAACCCTCTTTAAGGAGCTCAGTGAGTGTCAAGAGAACACACATAGAGGATGAAGCAAAATAGGGAGAACTTCACACAGTCTAAAATTCATAATTCTTTGAACCCATCAGGGATCTTAGGTCACAGGAACCCACTAACACATTCTGATAGGTGCCAAAAGGAGAGATGAAATTAAAACTCTTGCTTACCTGGGTATATATAGTCATTTTGTAAAAACAATCTGGAAGTTTTGTAATGTTAAATATGTACTTACACCACAATAAAGTAAACCATTTCTAAGTATTCATCCAAGTAAAATTAAAACTAATACTGATTCTCAAACACTTATGTGAATGTTTTAGTAGTTTTATTTTTAATAACCATAGATAGAAAGCAATCCCCTAATGTCCTATTTATAGAAAATACAAATCATCATGTATCTATGCACTGAAACACTACAACTCTGAAATAAAGAGGGATGGATATGTAACAGTAAGAACGACATCAAAATGCATTAGGCTTAGAGAAAGAAAGAAGCTTGAATGAAATGCTACATGGTGTGTGATTCTGTTTACATGACAAGATATCACTGGTTATTAGGAGCAAGGGTTTAGGGAGAAATTGACTACAAAGGAGCATGTGAGAATTTTGGAGGTAATGGAACTTTCACTGATGTTGATTTTGGAAATGGTGACATGACTGCATATGTTTGATAAAGTTGTTACTATATGTCAAATTTATCTTAAAATGGACACAATTGTTTAATGTTATTTCTTTAGAAGAAGATTTATGAATTTATAACTGATATATGATAAATGTCATCTATTTAATGTAGGAATATGCAATTTGATTATTTTGGGCAAATGTATGTAAAGTCCTTTACTGACAGTTCTAACATCTGGGTAATTTCTGAAACAGGTTGTCTACTACATTATTTGTTGGAAAAATTACACTTTCTGTGTGTGTGTTTTAAAATTTTACATTAAATGGCAGATAATAGGTATTGATGAAATGCTGAGAGTGAGGTAAATAGTATTTGTGACCAGAAATGGATATATCCTTTCCTCTTTAAAGCAGTCCAGTTGCGGTACTGAGCTTGGGTTTTGTTGTTGCCACTGTCACAGACAGTTTGTATTATCTATGTACAACAGAATTCAAATTCCTCTAGCCATGACACCTTGGGTCATGTCAGCATGTGGGCCTGATATGGTGTTTGAGTCTCAGTTTTCTTGCTCAAACCTCAGCCTTCAATATGTAAGCTCCAGAGACAGAGTTTCTCTCCATAGTTTGACCTTCTTTATAGGTGGTGGGAGTCTACTTTTGTGTGATAACTGGGTAGGCTTGTGGGGAGGCAGAATGAGGGCCATTGCTCTTATGGTTCATTTGCAGTCTTAAGAATTCCTGAGTACCCAGGCCTCATATTTGGGGCCTACTCAAATCTCTGACACATCTTTCTTGTTTTATGTACTGTTACTGTGTTTATTACTGTTATTTCTACTTTAGAATGGCATAATTTAAAAAAAGCTTTAGGGAAATGGGGGTTTGTTACCAATGTCAAGACGGTTTTGTTTTATGCATGGTTACATGGAAATAAAAGATTGACTTAACAAGGATCAGATCTTTGATAGAATTCCCTGAATTTAAGTAGTGCATAGCAGTCTCACTGGCTTTTAAATCATTAATATTTCATTTTCTCATAAAATATTTTAGTAAAATAAACAGAACAGATGTTTCAGGAGGAGAAGTATGCCTTCAATGGCATACAATATATTAATTTATGAAAGCAATAATACTAAGTGAAATCTTTTGGTGGGAAAGGAATTTAAGATTGGAATGGCCACCAACCTTAAAGAATCACAGGTGGTAAAAGTTTGTGAACTGTGTTGTTTGAGATAAATATTTGACTATTTTATTTGACGGTAGAAGCTTTTGAATAACTTTAAAATTCTGGGTGTGTCGGTTGGAGCATGAAGAGATGAAAGGAACTGATAGATGAATCCAAATCTCAGGATTATGTGCTTACACTGGAGTCAAAAGGGCTATTCTCTTAGTCTCTGCATTTTCTGTTATATCTGCATCTGAGCCTTGACATGTGTGTTTTAGGTTCTTCAGCTTCATTGTCTTGACCCATTTCATCAGCTGAAAACATAACCAGCTTGATATAAGGAATAGAAATTAAACCTTGGAATACCATTTCCATAAGTCTTTGTTTCCTTGCCATGGATGTGTATTTCTGTCATTTATTGCTATGTAAAAATATCACCTCAGGAATTGCTGGCATGAAACAAAAAAAAAATACTCATTATGTCTCAATTTTAAATACTGGAATTAAGGATGAATCCCCTCCTCCCTGTGACACTGACCTAAATGGCTCAACTATAGGCGCTGAGCTGGCGGTTATACTGAGAAGTCTAACAATGTTTACTGATGTGTTTGGCAGTTGTTTCCTCTCCACCTGGCCTCTCTTTTCGTCTAGTCTTGCCTAATTCAGTAGCACAGGGCAATTTTCTTTTCTTTTTTAACTTCTATTTAATAAATATACATTTCTAAAGTACAGCTTATGGATTACAATGGCTTTTTCCCCCCATAACTTCCCTCCCACCCACAACCCTCCCAACTCCCGCTCCCTTTCCCATTCCATTCACATCAAGATTCATTTTCAATTATCTTTATATACAGATCAGTTTAGTATATATTAAGTAAAGATTTCAGCAGTTTGTACCCACACAGAAACATAAAGTGTAAAATACTATTTCAGTACTAGTTATAGCATTAATTCACATTGAACAACACATTAAGGACAGATATCCCACATGAGAAGTAAGTACACATTGATTCCTGTTGTTGACTTAACAGTCTGACACTCTTGTTTATGGCGTCAGTAATCTCCCTAGGCTCTAGTCATGAGTTGCCAAGGCTATGGAAGCCTTTTGAGTTTGCCAACTTTGATCTTATTTAGACAAAGTCATAGTCAAAGTGGAAGTTCTCTCCTCCCTACAGAGAAAGGTACCTCCTTCTTTGATTGCCCCATTCTTTCCACTGGGATCTCACTTGCAGAGATCTTCCATTTATTTGTGGTGTTTTTTTTTTTTTTTTTTTTTTGCCAGAGTGTTTTGGCTTTCCATGCCTGAAATACTCTCATGGGCTCTTCAGCCAGATCTGAATGCCTTAAGGGCTGATTCTGAGGCCAGAGTGCTATTTAGGACATCTGCCATTCTATGAGTCTGCTGTGTATTCCGCTTCCCATGTTGGATTGTTCTCTACTTTTTAATTCTATCAGTTAGTATTAGCAGACACTAGTCTTGTTAATGTGATCCCTTTGACTCTTAGACCTATCATTATGATCCATTGTGAACTGAAACTGATTACTTTGACTAGTGAGATGGCATTGGTACATGCCACCTTGATGGGATTAAATTGGAATCCCCTGGCATGTTTCTAACTCTACCATCTGGGACAAGTCAGCTTGAGCTTGTCCCAAATTGTACATCTCCTCCCTCTCTTATTCCCACTTTTACATTTAACAGAGATCACTTTTCAGTTAAATTTAAACACCTAAGAATAATTGTGTGTTAATTACAGAGTTCAACCAATAGTATTAAGTAGAACAAAAAAATACTAAAAGGGATAAAGTATTAAGTTGTACATCAACAGTCAGGACACGTGACTGGACTCTCAGCAGACAGCCAACCCACCAGCTCCTTGATCTTGGACTTCTCAGCATCTAGAGGTCATGTGCATGACAGGAGTATCAATGAGTTTGTTATGACATCTCTGAAGACCTCACAGAAATGCCTAGTACAAGGCAGAGTTAGACAGTGAGAGAGAGAGAGACGGAGAGAAAGGTCTTCCTTTTCCATTGTTTCACCCCCGCAAATGGCCTCTATGGCTGGTGCACAGATCCGAAGCCAGGAGCCAGGTGCTTCCTCCCGGTCTCCCATGCGGGCGTAGGACCCAAGCACTTGGGCCATCTTCCACTGCCTTCCCAGGCCACAGCAGAGAGCCGGACTGGAAGAGGAGCAACCGGGACAGAATCTGGCACCCACACCAGGACTAAAACCCAGGGTGCCGGTGCCACAGGCGGAGGACTAGCCAAGTGAGCCGTGGCGCCGGCCGAAAGAGTAATAATTTGAAACCAGCTCTGCCTCGTCATTGCTGACTGTTAGAATTAGACATGAAATAAAAGATTCCATATAATTGAAAAAAAAAAAAAAGGGATTCCTGAAGTGGTCGCTCCTGTGGTGTCTGCTGTGCGCCACCCGGCCGTCCTCATGGTGAAGCCGAGCAAAGAAGCCAAGCAGAGCCTGCAGCAGCTCTTCAAGGGCGGCCAGTTTGCCATTCACCGGGGCTTTACCCCTTTCGTGATTTACCTGGGTTTTAAAAGGGGTGCAGATTCCGGAATGTTTGAACCAACTGTTTTGAGCCTGCTCTGGGAGTAAAGGACTGTTTGGTCATCTGGACTTGGAAACAGTCGTCGGACGATGGCAGCGTGGAACACGTGTGCTCTGCTGAGACGAGATCTGCTATATCGCTCAGTCACCGATGGGCAGCGCGGGGCTCTTCTTGGATGCATCTGGCAGAGTGGAACCTCTACTGACTTGTGTATGGTAGATTGATCAAAATAAATATTTTTATTAATGCTAAAAAAAAACCTCCTTTCACTGTTTCTCATAGTTTCCATTTCACTTCAACAGGTTTCCTTTTCTTTACAGGTAATGGTTGATATCCGCAGTGAGAAAGTGGCACCTGCCAGTCCTCTTAAAGGCTGGACCTGGAAGTTGTGCTGCATCATCTTTGCTATGGTCCACTAATAAAGCCAGGGTACCAGCCAGACTTGAATCAAGAGAAGGGGAAGTAGACTACACTTTTTGATGAATAGAACAGAATATGTGTCAAGGAGGGAAGGAATTAATGACCATCTGTGAAGCCTGTACAAAGAAAAAGTGACTCTGGTGGAAAACAGTCTCCACTAGTGAGTCTTTGGACTCTAAATTGTTGACATCATCTTTAACGGGGAAAAGAACAAAGGAATGAATGAGCTTCAACTTTGTTTGAAAAACACACACTGTGATAATCTGTGGTCTTGTTAAGAATATAATCATTCAGGCCCATTTAGCGTCCTACTAGTTTCAGCAACCTATTGGCAAGTAATTGATAATCTACCCACACACCAATTCTTCATCTATTAGGACTTACTATGTTCCCATATATATGAAATGCATAAAGTTTGTCTTCCTTAAATAAAATATAAAGAACTCTTATGACGTTATGTAGACTTTTATGTCTAGTTCAAAGGTCAAGGCTTTAGTTTGATCAGCCTCTTCTTAATTTCTATACATTCTGTACATAGTTGCCTAGTCAACAATGATTCTAAAAATGTGAAGAGAAACAGTACCTTAATGCTGACTTATGCAGTATGTCTAGCCCAGTCTACATATGTGTCAGAATTGATCATACTCAAATCTATCTCTTTTTTTATCTGCTGTGTCTGAAACACATGCTAATCATTTGCTTTCAGATGGTTAATAAATAATGTTGGTAGGTAATGTGGCAGATATTTCAGAAAAAGTTTATGAGACCGGGTTTTCTTAAATTGGAATATTTGGTGATAGGAAATGCCATGGGACTAGAAAAATAAAGTATATTGGAATCTGTAAGCAAGTGTTTTTTGATTCAAAAATGTAATTAGTGATTGCTTAGGCTATCACTCAATAAATCTATTGATTATACAATGAATAATCTTAAAATTATTTTGTTTCATTACATTTTATTTTTTAAGGCTTGCATCATGTAAACTTCGTCAAAATGGTTCAAATCATATGATCATTATGAATGATAACTGATGTTTTAAAAATTCATTAACTTAGATTTGTCTGAGCATTGAGTACATAATCCTTAGATATTCTATATTGCATACATTTCCCTCTGTTTTTAAGATCCATTTATGATATTTAACAGTGTTTTGTATATAACATCCTCAGTAAATGTCTATGGAGTGATTTTTCAAGAAAGACAATGCTAATCCTTGGTCGGGGGTATGCAGTTTTTTACAAATGAGAAGTTAATAACTCTGGGAGCAAGAATATATAAATCCATTGGAAGACAAACATCTCATATAAGGGAACATTTTAGATTTACCTACTAGGCAAATTTGTTATCACTGTTTAAAAATTTCTTGAAAAATGTTTTCCATTACTATGTAACCAAGGTTACTGTTTCATGTCTCATCACTTGGCAGAGGTTAGAAAGGTAAGTTAGGAAAAGTATTATGGGGCAAAAAAGTTGGAAAGTATTGAAAAATTATCTTAGTTCTCTCATTTTTTGCAGTTATAAAAAATTAAAGCAAAACAAATATTAATCAGTGCCACAGATGAGTATCACCAGGACTAACCCATTATAACTGTTCATTTGCATTTTAAAATAATACATTTTAAATTAACATTTGAGGTAAGTCTATGTTTTAAAAGTTATTATGCTATACTTGTGAAAGTCTTATGTTGAATTTGGATTCAAGAGTAGTATACAACCTACTGTATGTTACTTCTAAAATTGAAATTTAATTTAATTTGATATGAAAAAGAGATGATGATTTCATTTTCTAGCTAATATCTAGTTGATTGCACTTGTATATTTTTTCAAAATAGTTTTTCTTTCACTAGAATTGCAAGAGGTAGAGAAGTAAGGTTTATAATATTTTACCTAGAAAGGCTGGAAGAAGTAAATTGGTTGATCTATGAAAAAACCCTTTGTCACTGGATTGTTTATTGAAATGCCATTTCAGAGTTCAGGTTCTTGATCTTTACTCCTTTCTTTACCCACATATATATGCAAATGATAAGAATATAAAACAGTTTCTCTACTGTCTTCAACATCTAAATGCAAACTGTTCCTTTGAGTCAATCTATATTTATTTTTTAGCTGCCTTAATCTTTCATGAAATTTAAATGGAAAAGCTTCATCTTAAACAGTGTAGTTTGAGTTTGCATTATTCAAAATTAATTTATATTTCAGAAATTTTTACAAACAAGCCAGTGCTTAAATTTGTCTTGAAATTACCTTTTTTAAAAAGCAATGGACTTCACTTAAACTGTCTGTTATGTTTTAGAAACAAGTTTCCATACTGGAGGTATACAGTCGAAAGGGAAACTATTATACTGTCTCATTCCTGAGAAGAATAGATTGCTGTATAAATCACATAGCATTGAGTTTATAAATTGCACTGAATAAGATACAGACAGTGGTCCAGGACATTGCTGTGGATGTGATCAGTCCAACCTAACTTAAGTACACAGAGAGTAATAAACACAACAGTGACAAATTGACCTATCTCTGCTTCTGACTTGGCTTACCCAAAATTGTCCTTTAAAACCTATATCCAATGATTTGCAAGTTTGTTTTCTGGATTCCACAGTTTTACTAGCCTCTCCATCTGGGAAGCTACCAATGTGGTCTAAAAATGTTGCCAGTGTTGGATTTTTGAAGGCTACTGACTCTTGGGTAATGGTGACTGTGGGGAGCAACTCGGACTAGACTAAGTTACTCGAATTAAGACTTATTCTATGCATCTGCTCTCCCACAATATGGCGCTGGGAGAGGAGTAAACAGCTTCTACGCAGCTGCCTCTCGCCAACTTGAGTGATGACCTGCAGGAGCTGATCCTGCTCCTGATTGGAGGAGAGCAGTGTACTCGGCACGTGGGTAGCAGAGTTGGGATTGGTGGAAGAGGACTATAAAGGAGGAGAGAGACAACATGCACCAGGAACACCTGAGGAACATCTGAGCAGCCCCCGAGAGAGCTGGCCGGCGGTGTGCCGCTCCCCCGCGGAAGTGGGGAATGTGGCAGGGGGAACCGCCCTTCCACGGAGGTGGAGGGACGGCAGCCAACCCGGGAAGAACCAGCAGCAAACCCGGGGAGGGCCGAGCAGACAAAAGAACAGTGCAGGGTCCTGTGTCGTTCCTCCACGAAGAGGGGGAGCGACAGGTGATCAATGCCTAATGCTGGGTGTGCTTATAGACAAACCAAGGGTGCTAAACTTCATATACTCAACTCTTGCAAATAGCAAAACTGCCTCAAATGGAGAGGTTTTTGTGTCTCATTGCTTAAGCCACTGGCATTTGATAGTACTGTCTCCTGGCTCCACAGCTCCCATGCATCAGGGCTCAGACATGAATTCTTGCAGTCTGAATCAGAGGATAAGAAGACTAAATGAGAGATGTTATGGATATTTAGCATCTTTCATTTCTTTTGACACAGGCTAATTTTATTTTGTACCAACTTTAACATTTTGACTCTCTTTTCTCATGGGCTGAATTATTTAATTACTCTTTGATAACTTACAGATTTGAAAATAGAAAAGTCAAATCTTCAGTAACCTGAAAGTAATAAGCCATGCCTCAGTTTTAGTGAGGAAAGATAAGGTACAAATTTTAACGGATGGAATGCTAACAACAAAGATGAAATATAACACTTTGAAAATAATTTTATTTTTTCTATTTTATGTTGAAATGAATATTGTGGGAAAGAGAGGAAGATGCTACTTCACTGAACCAATTGTATTGATCTTTTGGCCCCCAAGATCATTTTATATTCTGGAGATGATGAAGAGACTTAGATTAAGGCCTGCTCTGGAGATATGAACAAGCATTAATGCTGATGCATATATATTCTGATCCACTAGTATATTTGTTAAGAATTAAAAAAATAGATATATTGGGGTCTCTATAGGATTGCAAACAATTGGCTATCTATCTATCTATCTATTTATCTATCTATCTATCTATATATCATCAAGGATTTTGTCTACACAATTATAGTGGCTGCGTCCCAGAAACTGCAGTTGACAAACTGGAGACCTACAAGGGCCAGTGGCATAGTTCTAGTCCAAATTAAAGGCAAGGAACGAAGAGGATAAGGTATACATTAAGTCTAAGGGGACGGGAAAATTTTATCGTAGCTCAGTCGGGCAGGTGAAGCTCTCTTAATGAATCTTTTTGTTGTATTTAGATCTTCAGTTGATTAGATGAGTCCCATCCGCAGTGGGGTGGACAATTTGCTTTACTCATTCTATCAATCTGAGTGCCAATCTCAACCAGAATCATATTTGACCTATCATTTGGGAAGCCTGTGCTTAGTCAAGTTGACATGTAAAATAAACTGTTGCAGCAGGAATCCTTGTCAACTTGTATAAAGGTAGGAAAAATTTGCTAAACCAAAACTGCCTTTTTTTTCCCCATTAGAGTGACTACAGAATTAACTTTTTACAAACTTTGGATTGAGAATGAAAACAATTCCAGTGGACCTTTAGTTGGGCAAAAATATTTGCCTCCCTGCAATGGAGAGGATGAAACACTTTACAAATTCCCCTCCTCACAAAAAAGTTGAGATTCCTACATAGGTGATGACCAGGAGATTTCTTTCTTCCTATATACAAAACAATGATCTAGATGGCTTAACTTGGGAAATAGTATTCTAAATGACAGAAGCTGGTCACAAAAAACCACATGTGGTACAATTACATTTCTGTTTTGAAATTTGATGTAAAATATCCAGAACTGATA